TACCGGGGATCCAACTGGGACCTTGAACTTTCGAGGCAGGCAGTGGAATCACTGAGCTAAATCCCCAGCCCTGCAACATTTCTTTTTTTTTTTTTTTTCCTGCATCGTTTTTTAAAGTGCACTTTATCTCTTAAATCCAATAACTTCAGAAACTGGACTGTGTTGTTGTTGTTGTTGTTGCTTTGGGTACCAGGGATTGAACTTGGGACCTTGTGCTTTTGAGGCAGGCGGTGGCACTGCTGAGCTAAATCCCCAGCCCTGTTGTTGTTTTTTGGGACCAGAGATTGAACTCGGGACCTTGTGCTTTTGAGGTAGGTAGCCATACCACAGCTAAATCCCTGGCCCTGGACTGTGTTTATAAGTCAGTTTTCCTTAGGCATTAGGTACCCATTCAATTTATGGTTTTATCTCCAAAAAATTATTAAAGTTCATCTATAAATATATTTTCTGTTCTGTCGCTTTAGTTTTCTTTTTCAGGGACACTGATTATATGTGTATTGATTTCCTCTGTCTGCTTTTCACATTCATCATTTTCTTTCCCTTCCTTTTTATTTCTGTTCACTTCAGTTTCATTTGCTTGTCTTCTTCAATTCTACTCAGCAAGTCTCCTACTTAAGCAGTGTTTATTCTATTCTGGCAAAGTTTGTTGGCAGTTGTTTGTATTACTTTCTTGTCACTGAGACACAATATTGACAGTAAAAGTTAAAGAAGGAGTGGTTTATTTAGCTCACAGTAGAGGTTTCATTCCACAGTTTGCTGGCTTCAAGTCAGGGCAGCATGGCAGAGGGTATCACAGAGGAGAAGCGGCTCAGGCATGATGGTGGGGAGCAGAGAAAGACAGAGATCCAAGGAGAGGAAGAAGGACCCTTCCAGGCCACACCCACAGTGATCCACCTCCTCTCACCAGGCTTCGCCTGTCAACACCACAACCAGCTGTACCCCACTGATAAGTATCTGGACCCCATGATCCAATCACCTCCAGAACCCCACCTATAAGCGCATGAGTCTTTGTGGAAATCTAGATATAAACCATAACAGCAGTCATTTTTGGAATGCCATCTCATAAAGCATTACGTTAGAGTTCCAACATATGAATTTTGGGAGACACAAGCATTTGCTACTTGTCAACTGTTGCTCTTGCCTTTTTTATTGCGGTGATTAGATATATAGTCTATCTCCCTTCCTAGTACTGAGCTGCTTGGAGCAGTTACCATGAATCCACAGTCAAACTTTATTGAAAGAATCAATCTAATTCACACCAGAAAAAAACTGGCTGGCAAGTGCTGAATTTCCTTTTTGAAAATCTATTCATTAATAGGAACTCTTCAAGCTGTCCCAGAAAACTGCTGTTATTCTAAGACACTGTACATGCTTAAAAATATACTTAGAGCTGGGTTTGATGGTACATACTTAAAACCCCAGCACACTGGAGGCTGAGGCAGGAGGATTCCCATGAGTTTAAGGCCAGCCTGAACTACATAATGAGACTGTCTAAAAAAAAAACGAAAACAGGGCTGGGGATGTAGTTCAGTGGTGCTGTGCCTGCCAGGCAAGTGCACAGACATGAGTTCAATCCCTGGTACTGAAAAACAAACAAAAAGTACTTAGACTAGTAATTATTTCTCATAGAAATTTTTTTTTTTTGGTACTGGGGATCAAACTCGGGACCTTGGGCTTTCGAGGCAGGTGGCGGCACCACTGAGTTAAATCCCCGGCCCTCCCATGGAAATAATTTTCATGGGAGAAATAATTGCTTTTCAATATTTGATAGTATGCCGGCACTCTTTCACAGCTCAGTAACATCAGTGACCGTAATCACAAAAAATATCCCACTTAAGCTTTTGAATATTTAAACAGATACTCCACTTTTTTATTTGACACAGTTAACACATGGGGGAATTTTTTTTTTTTTCGTACCGGGGATCGAACTCAGGACCTTGAGCTTTCGAGGAGGTGGCAGAACCACTGAGCTAAGTCCCCAGCCCCACATGGGGGATTTTTAAAAAAGTAGAATACATTTCAAGAAGACAAGTTGAAATATTAATCATAGAAGGAAAAAGGCCCTGTAACTCCCTGATATACATTCTAAAGCCTCACGTCTCTGTGGAAGGTCACTGCTATACAGGGATGAAAATACCTGGTGTCTACAAGTAAAGAGCAGTCTAATATAATTGTTATTTTGTAGAGAAACGCCCTGATTGCTTCTCATTTCAAGGTTCATTAGGGCTGGAACTCTTGTTTTCCAATTCAATGGCTCATTCTCCGAGGATGAAAAAAAATGCTGAAGATGGAATGATGCTTGGAAAAGGTATCTTTTCATTTTATTACATTTCCTAAGAGTAATATTCGCCTCATACCATTTATGCTCACGGTGACACCCTGTACATATCGCTTCGCACCAGGAATCTTGCACTACTGGCCTGGAAATTTAGGTTCCAAGGGTAGGGAAGCGTCTCTAGAAGATGGCATGGAAAGGGGCTGAGAGCATAGCTCAGTGGTGGAAGGTTGCATGGCTCGTGCAAGGCGCTGGCTTCCATCCCAGGACCGAAGAGGGCGAAGTACACAGGCGAGGGGCGCCATGGTGTGCTCTTGTAATCCTAGCACTAGGGAACTTGGGAGGCTGAGGCAGAAGGATCCCTTGAGTCCAGGAGTTAGAGGTCAGCCTGGGCAATATAGTGAGAGCCATCTCCAGCAGCCTGCTTTTCAGCTGGAAGGATTTTCATCTCCTCTTCCTCCGGCAGTAATAGTGGTTGAGCCCAGGGTCTTCTCAATGAGGTATATCACCAGCCCTTTAAAAAATGTTTTTTTAATCTTGAGGCAGGGTCTTGCTAAGTCAGTAAAATGCCCAGGCTGGGCTTGAATCTGCAGTCTTCATCCTCAAGGTGTTGAGGTGGGGATGGGACAGGACGCAGGGTCAGCTCCCGGGAGGAGCGCTTTAGGAGCCCAGTCTGAGGCACCCCTCCTCCTGAAGGGTACGCAGGGCACTCGGTGTTCGGCTTTCGATTGCTAGCACCTGGTGCTGCTGGGGGGCGGAAGCTCTGCGCTCCAGGGGTCATGCCTGGCGGCCTCTGCGCATGCTCGGCGACCTCGGCGGGCGGGGACGCGGTGGCGCGCCATGTCTCGGGCTTCCAAGGTGGTGCTGGGCCTCTCCGTGGTGCTTACCGCGGCCACTGTGGCCGGTGTACATCTAAGGCAGAGGCAGGACCGGCAGGTCGGTGGCAAGTGACTGGCCCTTCTGGGCCCGGTCACGTCGTTCCTGGGCCTCGGGGTCAAGGCGATGTGGTCCCCGCTGTCCTCTCGGTCCCGCCTGGGCCAGTGCGCTCTGGGGGTTCGATCCTTTCGGGAAGTGGAGCGGGGCTCTGGGGTGCGTTGTGGCAGAGTCCCCGCCCCCCGTCCCTGGGGCGGTGATCGCTACCCGCTCTGCGGCCGGGCTCTTTGGCTGAGGTAGCCGTCACCTCCTGCCGGGACGGACAGTTCACTGCGCTGACTGCAGGTTCTGGAAAGGACAGAGATACCGTCCAGTGGTTCCTTTTTGGCACATATGTTTCTGGAAATGTTCTTAGCTTAGCGATCAACGGCTGGTCGTGTGTCCCGAGTCCGCATTTTTCTCCTTCAAGTCAGCAAAGGTTTAGGGGCTGATGCGTGAGCCCGGCAGCCCACTGGGCACCCTAGGAGTAGGAGACCAGGAAGCGGTCGCTTCACGCCTGTTAAGAATCTGCAGCTGTGATGAACGTTGCAAGCCAGTCGTTGATACACCTGGGGAGTAGGTGTTGGAGTTGAACCTGGTTTGCGGAATATTGAAAGTAATGAACGGGAGAAATAGAGAGCAAGCAGAGATGAGAGATTTGAGATTAGGAATCAAGAGAGGAGAGATTTGAAATTAATGCTAGATTCCAAGGGGGCAGCTTTGGGAATAGAGGCAGATTTCCTGTGTAGAAGGAAGAGAAGATCCTGATCCCCAGGAAACCTGAGAAAGTGGAGGGCAGATGTCTTCGCAATCCTGAGGTTGATGAAGCCAGTGATTTTGATAGAGGTGGGTTGTGGCTGTATGAAGATCCCTGGCTACCAATCCTGTGTTCCTGGGAAGTTTTTATTGGGGGCTTGGACGCCCAATTAAACCAGAATCGGTTTAGTATGGGGACTTCATTTAGGTCTGTACCAAAAGCCATCCAGAGAACGCTAACATAGTCAGGGTTGAGAACGACTGTGTCAGAGAATGGGAAAGCGGGAAATAGAAAGGTTTAGTTATTTGGAGGTTGGAGAAGGGGAAAAGATTGAATAGATTAACCAGTGTTTATGTTACATGCAGACCTTCCTTAGGAACTTCCTTTCCAGCATGGGAAAGGGCATGATAAGATTGGCACTGTGAGTGTGCCCAGAGGTTCAAAGGGGCAAGAAATCAAATAATGACTCTGTTTTCTGACTGCCACATACCAAGCACGGTGGTAAGCTTTTTGTATACATCCCCTTTTCCCGTCCAGCCTTGCAGAAACCAAGGAAAGGTGGTCTCCAACTTAACAGTGGTTCAGCTTAGGATTCTTGAACTTGGGAGAGCAACATGGTTTGCATTCGATAGAAACTGTACTTGACGTTTTGTATTTTGTTATTTTCCCAGACAAGTGATGTGTGGTATGATCCTTTCTCAAAATGCTGGGCAGGGTCCAAGATGCCACAAGATCATGATCTGCTACATGTACCGGTAGCTAACCTCATGCTGGGTAGGCGTATTCTGTGCACTTGCGACTTCTGATATTTTGAGTTTATGTAAGTTATCAGGGTATTTGTAATGGAACATAAGCCAGAGCTTTAGGTGTTAGGGTTGTGATAGTGAAGAGGTCTTGGTGGTTAGCTGGGGAGGTGGTTACTAGGTAGAAGGTAGTTAAGTGGAAAGCAGGAAAGCAAGTGTGTGTGTGTGTGTGTGTGTGTGTGTGTGTGTAGCAATACCTCAATAGCAAAGGATGGGTGGAAAGGGTATAGATGTGTCCTGTAAGGAGCACAGGGACACGGTACAGTGGAGTGGGCACTTCTGTTTCTGACTCAGTGGGGATCTTGCCAAAGGCACAGGGCTTAGGAAGTTAAGTTTTTGTTGACCCAGCAGTGCCAGGACTCATACTTCCCAGCTCTCCCCGATAGTGAAGGATGCTGAAAGCCCAGGGGAGGTCCTGCAAGTGGGACTAGGCAAAGTTTTAAAAATAAATATAAAAAGCTTAAAACCAAATATACCCAGGCCTTAGGCCCCATCCCCATTAATTCTACCTTCTAAGGCTGTTGTTAAAACTTAATTTGTGATCTGTAGAAGATAACATGTCAGTTATTGGTAAGGACCGAATCAGTGTTTTCAGGTATCAGGCCAATGTTCTGGACTTCTCTTTTTAGTGCCTGTCAAGATAACTTGATGGGCCTTATTTTCCCTCTGGTAGTAGTATTTTTTTTCATGTTCTCTTTGTTATGTAATTGATTAGTGATTTTTATATAATTTAAAACTTGATAATTTACATACTAGGAGAAGGCTGGTTTTTTATTTTCTTATATTCCCAATAGTTAAGATTTCAGTAATGTTTTCTCTCTCACACTCTGTTTTTATTATTTTGCATACTGGAGATTGAAGCCAAGGCCTCCATACTTGCTCGCTCTCTCTCTCTCTCTCTCTCTCTCTCTCTCTCTCTCTCTCTCTTTTGGTACCAGGGATCGAACTGAGGACCTTGTGCTTGGGAGGCAGGCGTGGTGCCACTGAGCTAAATCCCCAGCTAAAAAGAGTCCAATTTTTTTTTGGTACAGGATCAAACTCGGGACCTTGCACTTGCAAGGCAGTAGGCAGAACCGTTGAGCTAAATCCCCAGGCCCCCAAGGCCTTCATACTGAGCTACATTTCCAGCCCTTTTTATCTTGCTGCACTTTTTTTTTTTTTTGTACTGGGGATTGAACTCAGGTCCTTGTGCTTTTGAGGTAGGCGACAGAACCACTGAGCTAAATCCCCAACCCCAGCCCTTTTTATCTTGAGACAGAATTCTGCTAAATCACTACATTGCTTGGTCTGGGCTCAAACTTGTGATTCTCCTGCCTTAGCCTCCCAGGGTGCTAGGACTATAAGGCATTCAGCATGATGCCCAGCGTTGATGTTGTTTGTTCATCTAGGATAATTCCTAACAGGAAAATAGTTCATAGTGTTAGTGCAGTATTTTTAAAGCATTCTCTCTCTCTCTGGCAACAGTGTAGATTGAACCCAAGTCCCTCACTACATCCCCAGCCCTGTTTGTTGTTGGTGACAGGGTCTCACCAAGTTGCCAAGGCAAAACTCCCCAAACTTTTGATCCTCCTCCCCCTGCCTCACACCTTACAGGTGTGTGCCACCAGTTAAAATTTTTAAAATTCCATGTAGTGCCAGTTTTTTCCGGTTTTGTTATTTCCTGTTGTTTTTTTTTTGTACCAGGGATTGAACTCAGGACCTTGGGCTTGCAAGGCAGGCGCGGTGCCACTGAGCTAAATCCCTGGCCCTGTTAAGTTTTCTGTACTACATATTCAGGAATTTCTTAAGATGTGGTAAGAAGTCATCTCAGTGATAACATTATAGCACACTACCAAATTTTTCTTCCAGTTTCTTCATTACATTTCATATTTGGATGGAGAGTTGAAATAGTAATCGGGCATTTGGAATCTGAGCCTCTGAAGTGTATTTTGGTAACACTGGTATTTGGATTTGAATGGCACAGGTTGGGAACCACCTGCTCAGGGTGTTACTAAAATCTGTTTCTTATGTTTTTAGAGGCTTCGTGACGGAGTGATCCGAGACCTTGAGAGGCAAAACCGGAAAAAAGAAAACATTCGTGTTTTGGGCGAACAGATTATTTTGACTGAGCAACTTGAAGCAGAAAGAGAGAAGATATTGTTGGAGAAGGGATCTCAAAAAACATGATTTTTGGTCAGTGTGAACTGTTTCTGGGACAGACAGCTCCGAGACTGTGCGTGTGTGTGTTGGTGGAGAAGAGCGTGGTGAGACCTTTGTCCTTTTTTTCCTTACTGTAGTTTTAAGCTTGATCGAATAAAGGACAGTGGACCCTTTATTCTCAGGCCCTACTTTGAGAAGCCTTGTGTCTGAGTGAGGAAGCTGCAGGCAGATGCTCTGTGACACGCTGCTGTCCCTGGGGTCATTAAGCAGCCCTTGAGCTGCTGCCTGGAGCTTGGTGTTGGCTCAGGCGCTTCTGGCCCAGGAGGGATGGAGAGCAGTGTCCACCTGAGTGGGCTGCTGAGCCGCCACGACGATGAGGCCACCAGGACGTCCACCTCCGAGGGGCTGGAGGAGGGGGAGGTGGAGGGCGAGACCCTCCTTATCGTGGAGTCGGAGGACCAGGCCTCGGTGGACTTGTCGCATGACCAGAGCGGGGACTCCCTCAACAGTGACGAGGGCGATGTGTCGTGGCTGGAGGAGCAGCTGTCCTACTTCTGCGACAAGTGCCAAAAATGGATACCAGCCAGTAAGAAGCTTTTTATTCCTTTGACTTGTCAGTCCCTGGGTGAAGGTTTGCTTTCTCAACCCATGGAAGAAACATGAGTGTCCAGTGGACTTGTTATTATATATCATTAATTTAGTTTATCAAATTCAAGCTTATATGAAACAGACACATTTGAACTGATAAAAATTATTGCCAATCTCCCATTGTTAATTCACATTCTTGATGGTAACCCAATAAAAGTTAGAAAATTGCAAATCCTGTGTTACTTAAGGAATTAATCACATTTTTCTTAGCAAGTTTATGTTATAGATTGAGGGCCAAATTCTAGTTCTAGTATAGAATTAAAGCTCTTAAAAATTACTGTGTTATGTTTGGCTTATGTGGGAAATGGCCACTACTGAGCTAAGGGGGGAATTGGCTTTAAGTTGTTGAATCCCTGTCCCGGGCCCAGTCTTGCTTCCTGCTTTACCAGGTGGCAGAAGTCACACTGTTTCTTTTCTTTTCTATTTTTTTTTTTTTTTGGTACCGGGGATCGAACTTGTGTCCTTGTGCTTGTGAGGCATGCGGCACAACCACTAAGCTAAATCCCTAGCCCATCACACTGTTTCTTCAGCTGCTCCTGCCTGGCTCCATCATGTGATCAGGTAGCACATCAGGATTTCCTCTGGGCAAGATTGGAAAGATACCTATGGGAAGAGTGCTTTGTGTAAGAGGTTTGGTAACTAAGTGAAAATAGAGATGTATAAAATTGTGAAGTTGCTCATTTTATGCAAATGTTTTTGTTAAAATGTGTTTGACTATTCAAATTAATAGTAACTTAATAAGAATAACATTTTCACAGAAAACCTAGAATGTACTGTTTAGCTACTTCTTGCTTCTGGGTTGTCTGTGTCTGACTCACTGACAGGTTCTGTCCAGGTGTCTCAGCAACTGTCCTTCTGTCCTCCCAGGTCAGTGTAAAGTGCCCTGTATGGCCCAGTGCCTGCTGACCTCTGGCCCCACGCATACTCAAAACCTTGTGAAGGCCAGGCTGACTGTTCCTGCTCCACAAACAGTTCTTCTCTTATCCCTGAGACTCTGCGAGTTTGTATCCTCCTGGAAGCCGCATCTCTCAGGCACCCGTGGCTACCCCATGCCCAGTGTATTCCTGCTCACCACTGATTTCCAGTTCCCCCTTCCCCTGCTCTGGACCTTGTCTTTCTCCTTCTGTCTCCCTCCTGTGGGAAGAGCACCCCCCTTCTAAGGGCTTCTCTGCCCCTAGCACTTCCCTGTCGCTGCCCTGGTTTCATTCCCTGGGGAGCTAAAGCAAAGCTGGGCCCACCTTAGACAGATCTGATTCCATCCGGGTGGCCCCAGGGCCCAGGCACTGTTAGAACAGAACCACTGTCTAGGTGGTTCTGAGGTGCTGGGAAATGGGAGACCGTGTGAGTGTGACTCGTTTTCTCCTCTGCAGCCCTCGGGTTTGGGAGTAATGGCCACTGCAGCCCCAGTTCCTAGCCTGGGCTTGGCCGAGGCAGGAGCGCAGAAGGCCTCAGGAAGGGAATATGAGAAGCCTGCCTGGGAACCAGGAATGAGACTGCTGGGACACATGCTGCTCAGGCCTTTCTCCTGGGAGCCTGGCCTTAGGAGAGTCCCGATCTTTTTACAAAGGAGAACTTGAGTGTGGGCTCTTGGCAGTCTGGCTGTGGAACTGAGATGTTTGGGTAGCAGCCACTCTCAGGCCCACCTGTCATGTGACTTCTGTTTTTTTCTCCTAGGTCAGCTGAGGGAACAGCTCAGTTACCTTAAGGGAGATAACTTTTTTAGGTTTACTTGTTCCGACTGCTCAGCGGATGGCAAGGAGCAGTACGAGCGGCTGAAACTGACATGGCAGCAGGTGAGTAGAGGGGTTCACAGGTTGTACCCCAGACCTTTGCAGCAAGGAGCCTGTGGGGAGCTTTTGGATTGTCTCTTCTTTTGTGGTGTTTTTATTTTTTTTGGTATTGGGGATTGAACTTGGGTCCTTGAGCTTGGGAGGCAGGCAGCGGAACCACTGAACTAAATCCCCGGCCCTTTTGTGGTGTTTTGAGATAGGATTTTGCTAAGTAGTTTGGGCTGGTTTTGAATTCATTATGTAGCCCAAGCTGGCCTAGAACTCCCCTAAATCCTCCCGCCTCAGTCTCCAGAGTGCTGGGATTACGGGTATGCACCAACATACTTAGCCGATTTTGCACTGATGTAAGGGGCCCTTTTATTTTTTTTGGTTTTAGTTTTTCAGACAAAGCTCAGGCTGGCCTTGAACTCACTATGTAGCCCAGGGTGGCCTCAAACTTACGAGATCCTCCTGCCTCAGCCTCCCAAGTGCTGGGATTACAGGCATGTGCCACTGCACCCAGCTGAGCACTTTTTATTTCACAATGAAAAGAGAATATGGAATAGTTAGAGATAGAAATTCGTGGTAAAAAGTACTCCCTGCTAACCTAGGGAATGGGGTTTGAGATTCTTGAAAATCTCATATGGTTTATTTATATGTAATGCCAAGTCCTGATTTTAATGAATTAATTTTTTTTTTCCGGTGCTGGAGTTTGAATTCAGGGCCTTCATACTGAGCTACATCCCCAGCCCTATTTTTTCTTTTTAATTGCCTGGGCTGGACTAGAACTTGTGATCTTCCTGCCTCAGTCTCCCAGAGGGCTGGGATTACAGGAGTGAACTCCATGGCCAGCGAAGTTCTCATTTTATTGTTTGTTTGCTTATTTTTCTGGTACCGGGGATCGAACTTGGGTCCTTGCGCTTGCGCAGCAGGCAGCGAAACCACTGAGCTAAATCCCCAGCCCAAGTTCTCATTTTAATAGAAAATAAAGTTCACATGTTTTGGCAGCCACTTGAGAACAATAAAACTACATGGTGCTACACTGGAACCAGATGTGGAAGAAGTAATGTGTGCAGATGGTGAGAGCTCACATAACCCAGTCTTCTGCATTTGGGCTCAGATGTTTGAGTATTTTTTTCTTGATGAATACTTATGTCCACTCCTGTCTTTAGTGCCAACACAAAGCTAAGCCAACTATACCCTGAGCAGTAGCTTTCCACTGACTTCTAGATTATGTTAATATTTTTGGTTTGTTTTTATTCAATGTATATAAGCCTAGTGTGGTGGTACACACCTGTAATTCCAGCACTCGGGAGACTGAGGCAGGCAGAACATTGTGAATTTGAGGCCAATCTGGGATACATAGTAAAATGCCAACCTGAACAACATAGTGAGACCCTATCTCAGAAAGGGGGAAAAAAAGAAAAGCGTGTGTGTGTGTGTGTGTGTGTTTGTATGTATATATGATACTGAGGTCTGTAGTAGTAAAAGAGATGAATTATGCATGATTCACTGGTTTTTATGGGGTTTTTGTTTTACTTTGTGCTGGGGTTCAAGCCCAACCCTTGCTGGCTCAGACTCCATTGGAGAGACACCCCACCCCTGGTTATTGTCGTGCAGCAAATACTAAGTGCCCATAGCAGGCTGTGGCCCTGTGCTCAGACAGCTGACGTTGGGCGCATTTTCAAGAACCAGATACACGTGGTTATTACCCGTAGCACATTTTGCTTTGAAGAACATAAACAGTTATGAAGAAGATTTTATTTTATTTATTTTTTTGGTACCGGTGATGGAATTTAGGAACTTGTACTTGGAAGGCAGGCGGTGGCACCACTGAGCTAAATCCCTGGCATGAAAAAGGTTTTAGATTATGCTGTTTTGACCACTTTATGGTGTTCTTTGTAAGTTGTAGGCTGTGGCCACCCCTACTGTTATCTTAATTATTAGAGCTTTATCAGTGCTTTGTTAGATCTCATGAAATCTGTTAGTGGTGAATGTAAGAAGTCTTTTTTTTTTGTACCAGGGATCGAACTCGGGTCCTTGCGCTTGCATAGCAGGTGTTGAAACCACTGAGCTAAATCCCTGGCCCGTAAGAAGTCTTTTTTGACTTGCCAAAAAAATATATAAGTAATCAGGTGTGGAGGTGCACACCTGTGATCCCAGCACTCTGGGAGGCTGAGGCAGGAGGATCACTTTGCAGTCAAGGTCACCCTCAACTATGTAGCAAAACACTGTCTCAGAAAACAGAAAATTACTGAACAGTGACTTTTTCTTTAAATTGAAGTGAGGGACACATGAGCTTCACTGCTGCTCAGCGTGCAGATGGGCAGCATTCTGTATATTCATGTTTGTGCATGACCACTGCCACCCAGCTGCAGTGCCTCTTCGTTCCGGGCTCAGCTTCCCATGTGCTGGGCCATGACTTTCCTTGGCCCTTTCAGCCTGATGCAAACAAAAGTGGAGCTATAGAACTCTGGTCTGGGCTTGATTGTGTTCCCAGGTTAAGGATGGCAAATTGAAACTCAGAACATCAGGGTAGTTGGACCCATGTTGTGTAAACATAGCTCTTTGCAGAAGGGTCACTGGATATTGAATGCTGGGGACAAAGACGGGCATTAACTGCAACCTAGCAGACTTTTAAAATTTTTTAATTTTTTTCCGGTACTGGGGATTGAACTCAGGACCTTGCGCTTGCAAGGCAGGGATGGTGCCACTGAGCTAAATCCTCGGCCCTCTAGCAGACTTTTAAAGCTGCAGGGTACTCCTTGAGAGAAGAAGTTATTTAAGAATTATCTTCTAAGCTTGGCACGGTGATGCACACCTCTGATCCCAGCATGGAGAGGCTGAGGCAGGAGGATCACAAATTCAAACCCAGCCTGGGCAATTTGTCGACTTAGTAGACCCTGTCTTGGGATAAAAATTTAAAAATTCCTGGGGTCATAGGTCAGTGAAAAGGCCTTGGCTTCAATTCCCAGTGTCCAAAACCAAACCAAACCAAAAAAACCTACATAAATAGATGCAGAGAAGTATATGAAAGGACAGTTACTAAAATGCTGAAAGTTGTTATTCTTCTGGTGGTACTAGGGATTGAATCCAGGGACCTTGCATGGAGCTATATCCCAGCTCTTTTTATTTCTTTATTTTGAAGCAGCGTCTTGCTAAGTCACTAAGTTGTCTAGGCTGGGCTCAAACTTGCAATCCTCCTGCCTCAACCTCTCAGGGTGCTGGACTTATAGGTGTGCACCACCACACTGAGCAGAAGTTATTTCTTGATGGATTTCAAGTGATTTTTAGCTTCCTTCTTTGTTCTTTTGCTGTTTTTCGAGTCTTTTATACTAAGCATGTGTTGTTTATATTTCTGGAAATCACCTCCCCATTTAGGGCCATGAACCCTTACCGTGAACCTGGCCTAGGTTGGGCATTGGAACCCTGAGCATGGTGTGAGGGCCGAGCAGCCTGACCTTTTCATTACCCGTTCATTCCGTGTGCATGGCTGAATTTCAGAATCCTGACTAGAGAGTGGGTAGAGCTTCAGCGGGAGGATGCGGCTGGGCACCCTTCCCCTAGGGCCTCGTGGTGTGTGCATGGGGTTTGTGGTGAAGCCTGTGTCCGCGCTCTGTCCGGATGTCCCTCAGCCACACAGCAGGCCTACATGCATGACAGAGGAGCTGCACAGAACCGAGCAGAGGAATGTGGCTCATAAGCACAGCACAGGATGAGCCATGCACACAAAGTCCCTGGTCCCCCAACCTCGCCATGCCTGCCCGGACTTTAAGACAAGAGAGAGCCCCTCCCCCAAGACCCCCATCCTTCCCCATCGCCTCCCAGCCCAGTCTCTCTGTGTTGCAGGTTGTCATGTTGGCCATGTACAACTTGTCCCTGGAAGGCAGTGGGCGTCAGGGCTACTTCCGGTGGAAAGAGGACATCTGCGCTTTCATCGAGAAGCACTGGGCCTTCTTGCTGGGGAACAGGTAACATGGTCTGGGCAGAGCTTACACCTACAGGGAATTGTGACAGCCCAGTGCATCCCTGATAGAGATTCGGAGCTTTACTGGGTCAGTCACAAAGAATTTTGAATTCCAGGATTCTTTTTTTTTTTTTGGTTTTTTGAGACAGGGTCTCACTGTGTAGTTCAGGCTGGTTTTGGACTCACTGTGTAGCCCAGGCAGGCCTGAACTCAAAGTGATCCTCCTGCCGCAGCCTCCCAAATGGTGGGATTATAGGCATGCCCCACCATGCTTGACTCTTCTTTACTCTTTTTTCTGGTACCGGGGATTGAACTCAGGACCTTACACTTGTCAGGCAGTGGCACCACTGAGGTACCCCAGTCCTCTTTTTTACTCTTAGCTTTAAAAAAATTTTTTTGAAGCAAAACATTTATTGATACATTTTAGATATACATAATGATAACATTCATCATAGGGAATTTGTACCTGTACATGATGTATCTTGCTTTCGTTTTGTCCCATTCCCCTCCCCTCTCTTCAGTCCCTCTTCTCCTTATTTACAAAAGCTTTGTTTCCATTTTGTCCATCTAGTCTCTTTTTTCTTCTCCCTTTTTTCCTTTCCCCCTCCCCCATCCCTTGTTCCCCTTCTCATTTGAACATTTTCTTCCCATTTCCCAATATCTATTATACGTTTTGGTTCTTATTTTCACTTTCAGTTTCTCACACCAGAGAAAAATGTGGTATTTAAATGTGTGTCCGATTTATTTCACTTAAGAGTATGGACTTAAGGGGCATCCATTTAGATAGAAATGTCTCAAGTGTATTCTTTTTTTTTTTTTTAAGCATATTCTTCTTTATGGCAGAGTAGTACTCCATTATATTAAAAAAAAAACCACAAGGGCCAGGATTTAGCTCAGTGGTTCTGCTGCCTGCCTTGTAGGCACAAGGTCCCAAGTTTGATCCCCAGTACCAAAAAAAAAGAAAAAGAAAATGAAAAAAACCCCACATCTTTATTCATTCATCAGTTGATAGGCATTTGGGCTGTTTCCAAGATTTAGCTATTGTAAACTGTGCTGGTATAAACATGAGTGTGCATATCTCCCTGTGGTATGACGCTTTTAATTCTTTTGAGAAGATACCAAGAAGGGGAATAGCTAGGTCAAATGGAACCTGATTTTGAGGAATTTCCACAGTGGTTCCATCAGTCTACACTCCCACCAATAGTGGAGAAGGGTTCCTTTTTCCCCACAGCCCTGCCAGCATTTGTTATTAGTTGATTTCTTTTTTTTTTTTTGGTACTGAACTCAGGACCTTTCACTTGCAAGGCAGGTGACAGAACCACTGAGCTACATCCTCGGCCCATTGGTTGATTTCTTTTTTTTTTTTGGTACCGGGGATCGAACTCGGGACCTTGCGCTTGCAAGGCAGGTGCCAGAACCGCTGAGCTAAATCCCCGGCCCATTGGTTGATTTCTTGATGACAGCCATTCTTTCTGGTGTGAGGTGGAATCTCAGTGTTGTTTTAATTTGCATCTCTTAAAATGACCAGTGATGTTGAACATTTTTTCATGTATTTATTTGCTGTTTCTGCTGCTTCATCTGAGTAGTATCTATTCATTTCAGATGCCCATTTTTGGACTGGGTCTTTAAATTCGAGGGGTCTGATTTTTTTGGAGTTTTTTATATACTCTACAGATAGTAGTCATTTGTCTGAGGAACAGCTGCAAAAATTTTTTCCCACACTGTGGGTTGTCTGTTCATTCTGTTGGTGGTTTCTCTTGCTGTGCAAAAGCTTTTTAATAAGATGAGGTCCCTGTTATTGATTCTTTTTGATAGTTCCTTTGTGATCGGGTTTTGTTCATAAAGTCTTTGCCTACACCAATGTCTTCAAGAGATCTACCTATTCTGTCTTCTAGCAGATTTAGGTGATTCTGTTTTAATATTTAGATGTTTGATCCATTTTGATTTTAGTTTAGTACATGGTTAAAGATATGGGTCTAGGTTTAATCTTCAGCAAGTGGAAAAGCCAGTGTTTTGAGCGCTGTTTATTAAAGAGGCTATCTTTCTTCCAGTGAAGGTATTTGGCTTCTTTGTCAAAGATAAGGTGACCGAGTGTGTTTGGAGTTGTTTCTGTATCTTCTAATCTGTTCCATTGATCCTTAGGTCTGTTTTTTTGCCAGTTCCATGCTGGTTTTTTTTTTTTGGTACTGGGGATCGAACTTGGGATCTTGCGCTTGCGAGGCAGGCACTGGAACCACTGAGCTAAATCCCCGGCCCTAGTACCATGCTGTTTTTATCATAGTAGTTTTATAGTATAATTTCAAGTCAGGGATTGTGATTCCTCTTGCTTTTTTGTCCAGGATTGCTTTTGCTATTCTAGGTCTCTTCTGGTTCCAAATGAATTTTAGGATTGTTTTCTCTAAGCTGTGAGATATGCTATTGGTATTTTGATTGGGATTGCATTAAATCTGTAACAGTTTTGGGAGTATGGCCATTTTCACTTTATTGGTTTTTCCTACCGAAGAACAAGGGATATCTTTCCATTTTTCTGATATCCTCTTTGATCTCCTTTTTCAGAGTACTATAGTTTTCGATGTAAAGGTCTTCCTTTGTTAGGTTGATTCCTAGGTATTTTATTTTTTTGGATGCTATTTTGAAAGTTTGTCTCCCTGATTTCTCTCTCAAGGAGTTTGTTATTTATGTACAGGAATGCTATTGATTTTTGAGTGTTGACTTTTTTAGGGGGGGACGGGGAATAGAACTCAGGACATTTCGCTTGCAAGGAAGCGTGGTGCCATTGAGCTAAATTCCTGGTCCTGAGTTTTGACTTTTTATCCAGCCATGCTACAGAATTTGTTTATTAAATCTAGATGACTTTTGGTGGAGTTTTTGGGGTGTGTATGTAGAGTATCATGTCATCCACAAATAATGATAGTTTAACTTTTTTCTTTCCTATCCTTATTTTTTTAATTTCTTTCTCTTATGTAATTGCTCTAGATAATGTTTCCAGAACTATATTGAATATAGTGGACATCTTTGTCTTGTTCCTGATTTTAGAGTGAAAGCTTTCAGTTTTTGTCCATTTAGTATGATGTTGGCTGTTGGTTTGTCATAGGTGGCTTTTATCAGATTGAGATAAAGACCATCTATTCCAATTTTCTGTAGAGTTTTTATAATGGATAGGTGTTGGACTTTGTCCAAAGCTTTTTCTGCATCTATTGAGACGATCATATGGTTTCTGTCTTTGGCTCTGTTAATATGGTATATTACATTTATTGATTTGAGTATGTTGAGTCTTCTTTTCATCCCTGAGGTGAATCCTACTCGGTCATGGTTGTATAACCTTGATGATTAGCTGTATCCTGTTTGCCAGTATCTTATTGAGGATTTTTGTGGTGATGTTCATTAGGGAGATTGGCCTATAGTTCTCTCTCTCTTTTTTTTTTTAAATAATATATATATTTTTTTTGGTACAGGGTATCGAATTTGGGTCCTTGCACTTGTGCAGCAGGTGGTGAAACCACTGAGCTAAATCCCCGGCCCAATAGTTCTCTTTTTTTCTCTCTTTTGTAATATTCTTTCTTTTTTAAAAATAAATTTTATTTTGTCCCACTCCCTGCCTAAACCCCCTCCCTTTCATTCTCGTTTTTAGTTGGTTCCTTCTCTGGTTTAGGAAACAGGGTAATGTTTGCTTCCAGAAATGAATTTGGGAGTATTGTTTCCCTTTTGATTTCATTAAAAAGTTTGAGAAGTAGTGGCATTAGGTCTTCTCTAAATTTCTTGCAGAATTCAGCAGTGAATCCGTCAGGGCCTGGGCTTTTCTTTGTTGATAGGTTTTTAATTACATCTTCAATTTCATTGACTGACACTGGTTTATTTAGAATTTTTATATCTTCTTAATTCAGCTTTGGTAATTCGTATGTATCAAGAATCTGTCCAAAAATAAATAAATAAAAGAATGTGTCCATGTCTTCTGAGTTTTCCATCTTACTAGAATACAGGTTCTCAAAGTAATTATCGATCTTCCGGATTTCTGCAGAATCTGTTGTGATTTCACTCTTTTCATTCCTAATTGCACGGAGTTGAGTCTTTTCTGTCCTTTTTTTTTCTCCTGTACTGGTTATCCAAACTCAGGATCTTGCACTTGTGAGGCAGGCGTGGCACCGCTGAGCTCAATCCCTGGCCCATCTTTCCTTTTTTTGATAAAATTGGTCAAGGGTTTGTCAGTTTTATTTACTCTTTCAAAGAACCAACTCTTTGATTCACTGATTCTTTATATTGTCTTCTTATTCTGAATTGCATTAATTTCTGCTCTAATCTTTATAATTTGCTCCCTTGTATAAGCTTTGGGTTTGACTTGCTCTTTTTCTAGAAGCTTGAGGTTCAACATTAAGTTGTTTAGGCAGGGGTACCAGCCTAAAATACAAAAAAAATACAAAAAAATACTAAAAAAAAAATTAAGTTGTTTATTTGACCCCTCTCTGTTTTTAATTATGGGAATACACCACTATAAATTTGCCTTACTGGGCGTGGTAGCAAACACCTGCAAGCCCAGCACTTGGGAAGCTAAGGATTGCTATGAGTTCAAGGCCAGCATGGGCTGCATAGTGAGTTCAGGGCCAGGCTAAACTATATAGTGAGACTCTGTGTCACACACAGACAAAAAAAAGTTTCTCTGGTAGGACTGCTTTGATTGTGTCCCATAAATTCCAGTATGTTGTTTTGGCATTATTGTTTAAATGTAGAAACTGTTTAATTTCTTCTTTAATTTCATCTGTGATTCAGAGGATGTTATTTATATATTTATTTGGTACCAGGGATCGAACTTTGGACCTTGTGCTTGCGAGGCAGGTGGTGAAACCACTGAGCTAAATCCCTGTCCCTGGAGAATGTTATTTAATTTCCATGTGTTTCTGAAGTTCTTGTGGTTTCTTTTGCCATTGATTTCTAATTTCATTGCACTATGGTCTGACAGTATGCACGGGACAATATGACTTCTTTTGCATTTACTTAAGCATGTTCTAT